CTTCCACACATTCTTCCCTGGTCCCATCAGACCAGCGAAATCATTTCCCCCGTGAGTTCCTACAACACTAATTATTTGTATCACTCATAAAATCACAGAATTGGGGATTTGGGAGAGACCTCAGTTGGCGATCTGGCCCAACCCATATTTGAACAAGAATTCCCTCTCTAACACTCCCCCTTCCCCAACAAAAGGTCATCCGGCCTTAGTTTGAAGACTTCGAGGGAAGGAAGGGCTTCTTCATGAGGCAGCCTATTCTACTTTTGAATAACTGATTATTAACAAGTTTTTCCTCATATTAAGCCTAAATTTGCCTCTTTGCGATTTCCATCTCTGTCTCCTAATTCTTCCCTCCATTGCCAAGATGAGTCCCTGTTTGGTATCTTATGTAATAACTGTCTTGTGACATCTTATGTCATTAGTTTAATTCATATAGTTGTTTACCTTTTATATACACATGTGTGATGGCACATAGAATGCCAGGGAAGGAAGAGATCTTAAGGATCATGAGTTCAAGCCTCTCATATGACCATGGTGGGAGTGTAATTTGAATCCAAAAAAAGGTAAGTGACTCGTTCAAGGTCTCACACACACACACAGTCATTTAGGGGCAGAACCAGAGCTAGCCTCTGTTCATGCCCTTTCTTCTATGCCATGCTTTCTATGGTAAGCTCCATGAAGGTAGAAATTTTGTTTATCATGCTTTGTAGTTTACACAAAAATCTACTAGCACAATGTTATCTTGTGACTCAGTAAATATTTCTAGAATTAGTGTGTAATTGAATTTGATTTACTTAGAATACATGGGGCATGGGTTGGGGCCACCAACCACCTTGGCTTATTCTCAAGGGCAAACATTTCCATTTCCTTCAACTGATCCATCAATATGGTTTTGAATCTTCTCCCCAAATTTTTTACTGTCATATGAATAGACTACCATTTGTCACCATCTTTCCTAATATGTGGTACCCCGCTGTGGTCTGAGGAGAACAAAAGACAATGGGGTGAACAGAAACTCATGAACACTAGCTGATTAGAAGCCAAAAGTATAATCAAAATATTATATATAATTTTGAATTTTGCTAAATTTGATAAAATTTTAAGCAAGATCAGGGATCCATCATGAATTGTGTGTATGTCATTTCATGGATGCCACTTTATCAAATTGTTGGATGGGTAGAGAAGGTCTTTTTGCTTCATTACTTAATCTCTCTTTATGAGACATTTTTTGTAGAACTACCCCGAAACTGTTGTGTATGCATCACAATAGTATTCTTTAGATGATCTTAAGGCTACATCTTCAAATGCAATCCTTCCAGTCTAAGCAGCAGCTAGTGAAAGCTTTTACAAATTTTGAAATTGTAATAGTGTGATACACAGCAAAAGAAAGTTGTTTTGTTGAATTTTAAAATTAACCTTTCAAATGTATTTTTTTGTGAGTCTGTAATATTTATATTTCTGGAGTGATTAAAGCTTAGATCTGTATTAAAAATGTTTTGTGTATGTTATCCACACCATGTACAAATTTGCTGCAACTATGATGAAGGTTTAAGGTTTCAGTGATGATGAAAGTTTGAGAGAGGAGTAGTAAACTTAATATGGGTATGAACTCTCTTCTTTAAAGGAAAAAAAAGCAATAAATATCTCTAGTCTATATTCAATTCAACAAGGACTTCATAAGTGGCCATTAAGGGGAATATAAAGACAAAAATTAAAAGTGTCTGCCCTCAAGGGGCTTATATTCTCATGGGGAGAAACAATATATTCACAGATAAATAAATACAAAATATATACAAAGTTAAGTACCAAAGGAGAGACTATCTAACAGCTGAGAATGGAGGGATGAATTAGAAAGGGCTTCATGCAGTACAGGTCATTTAGGCTGAGCTAGGGATTCTGGGAGGTAGACGTGAGGAGGCAGAGCATTGCAGGGATGGAGCGTGTCCTCTGCAAAGAGGAGATGTTGTGTGTCATGTATGGGCAATAGCAAGTAAGCCATTTTGGCTGGAATATGGAATGCAGAAAAGGGAATAGTGTGAAATAAGTATCATAATATCATACATTTAGAGCTGAAAGGAAAGGGAGGCCAAATTGTGTAAGGGGAGAAGCTAGGTGGTACACTGGATAGAGCACTGGACCTGGAATCAGGAAGACCTGAGTTCAAATCTGGCCTCAGATAGTTACTAGTTGTGTGACTCTGGGCAAGTCACTTAACCCTGTTTGCCTCAGTTTCCTTATCTGTAAAATGAGCTGGAGAAGGAAATGGCAAACCACTCTGGTATCTTTGCCAAAAGAACCCTAAATCAGATCATGAAGAGCAGAACATGACTGAACCAGCAGAACGACGACAACAAAAGAAGAATTTGGAGTTTAGTCTAGAAGCAAGAGGGAGACACTGAAGATTTTTGAGCAGAGGAGGGACATGGTCAGATCTGTGCTTTAGGACCATTATTTTGGCAGCCATATGGAGGATGCATTGGAGATGGGGAGAGACAGGAAGCAGTGAGACCAATTATAGATTTTTGTTAAAAAAAAAAAAGTTCAAATGAGAGCTGGTGAATGCCTGGACTGGGGTGGTGGCAAGAAGAGGGATTTTTATGGAGAAAGAAGAAAGAAGACTTGGCAACTGAATGCATGTAAGAGTAATCCTAGGAGCATAGATTTAGAAATTGAAGGAATGCCAGGGGAATGTCTAGCCCAACCCCCTCATTTGCAGTTCTTTTCCAAGCCAAGCTATGAACACTGAGGCATTTAGTCTGGTGGCAGTGATAGGTAGGGTTCCCCTGGGGAATATCTACCCTCAGTGCACACAGCCAGAAAGGGGTAGTTGTGAACCATAAGCCCTAACTCTACACCCTTCCAACATACAATTTTTCCTTTTCTTCCTCCTCTTCCTCTTCCTTCTTTTTATGTTCCAATTATGCCTTGACTTTTTTGCCATTAACCCCACTCCCAGAATACCCTTCCACCTCTCCTCTTGATGAGGTGCTTGGATACTTGTACTGGGACCCCAATTCTAAGACCATATTTTTCCCTAGCCTCAGAAACGCTATCCCTGGCAGTTTCTCCCTAGCCCAAGGACCTTATGCCTAGCAATTACTCATGAGTGGGCCCCAGCAACACACTTATCTCTCTTCCTGGTGCAGTTACAAACTGTACCTGTAGGAGTTATTAGTTTGAACTAGCTTTGTACTGACTCATAAAGATATTCATACCCACTGGACTGTCTATACCAACTCCCTACCTCATTATCTGCATCCTGGACTCCTCATGTGTATCCTAGACTTAGGACATCTGTACACTACCTCCATCTATCTTGTCAAACAAGACATTGATTGGTGGCAGACTGGACAAACCTCAGTTGGCTCTGATCATTTGTTAACTTAGTGAGGTAGCACACCTAAAAAAACACACCTTCCAGTAGCCCCCTCTTGGGCTTGTCCTGGTGAACTCTGGGTAAAACACCTATGCAATAGATACGAAAAATGCATGTTCCTTAAATAACTGACCACTCCTTAACCACTCTCTAATCCCACCCTGAATCACCTAGTTAGCATATTTGGCACATGTTTTACCATAGTTTATCCTGTATAAACTTTAACTGAATCTCTCTAAGGTCACAGATTCCTTAAGAACTTTTGTCCACTGAAAAGCATAACAATAAATCTTTACCACCGAGCAGACAAGTTGTGCCCTGGACTTAGCATAACAACAATCCTTTGCACTCACTTTCTGGATGAACTCAGCCCCAGCAAAATCCCAGAATTGTTTCACACCAGCACCAGGTGGTCCCTGAGCTTAAACAAGTACCTGTAGTACCCATGTTCCAGTCATGAAGTCCTGCTATGAATCAAACTTGTTGCTGCTACCCCTCATTGTCAGGGCTGCAGCTCACTGTATAGCACCAGTATACGTACTGAAATTTGCCCTCATGAAAGTGGGTCTCCTACTAGAGTGGACCCTGGCACACTGTGCCTAGTTTTCCTCCTCCAAAGGAATAAAGAAAGTTTTGCTTATGAAAAAAAAAATCTTTGCCAATTTGACTTAAAGAATGCTTGAGTCTGTGAATTCATTCCAGATGACCCTGTCCTTGAGGGGTCTCTGAACCTCTCAGACCGCAACACTTTTCTGAACTAAATTTGAGACCCAGTTCAGGTCCGTCATATACTACAGATATGATGATTGCAAAGGCTTAAGAGAACAGGGATTGAACATGGCCCAGGGCATCTCCAATGGGAGACCAGTAACAATAGACATTGATAGTGTCTATATTACATGTTTTCAGGAAAGTCTGTGTGGCACTGGACTGCTTAGGAGAAAAAATTGTTATCAGCCATCATGGGGTGGGGAGAGAACCGCTAAGCTAATAATAACTCATTCATATGCACAAATGTCATTTATATGTACAGACATATGTATATATATATATGTACATACATACATATGTATGTATAATTTTGTTGTTCAGTTGGGCCCAATTCTTCATGACCCTATGGTCATGCCAATACTGTCCATGGGGTTTTCTTGGCAAAGATACTGGAGTGGTTTGCCATTTCCTTCTCCAGTGGATTAAGGCAAACAGAGGTTAAGCGACTTGCCCAGGGTCACCCAGCTACTAAGTATCTAAGGTCAGATTTGAACTCAGGTCTTCCTGGTTCCAGGCCCAGCATTCTATCCACTGAGCTACCTAGCTGTCTCTATGTATAATATATGTGTATGTGTGTGTACACATCTTCACCAAGTGCTTTGCCTACAATCCCTTGAGGTAGTAAGTAGTGCAAGTATTAGCTGTACTTAGCAGATTCAATGAGGGGTCTTTGAGGATTCCTCCATGGTCCCTGAGGTCTCATACCAGTCCAGAGCTACAATCTTATGAGATAGAATTCTGATGTGTAATAAAGCTGAAGAGGTAGTGTAGGGCCAGGTTGTGACATGGCACATGTCTAAATGACAAATAGAAGAGTTTATCCATTCACGCCAGGTATGTTCTTTTTTTTCAGGACCGAGAAGGGGGATGGGACTGAGGATGAAGATTTCCGACTGGACTGCCACCACAGCCGATACCCAAATCGTAAGTGATCTCACCTCTAGTATGTCTGTGTGGGTTGAAGATGTTCCATGGGTGCCTGGTCGCTGTGCCCCACCCTGCTCAGATGCCATCTGGAATTTTGTTTATTTCTGCTGACCACATTTAAAGAAGACTATTGAGGGGGCAGCTAGACGGCACAGTGGATAGAACCCTAGGCCCGGAGTCAGGAGAACCTAAGTTCAAATCCAGCCTCAGACTCTTACTAGCTGTGTGACCCTGGGCAAGTTGCTTAACCCTAATTGCCTCCTCACTCTCCCCAAAAGAAGAATATTGAGGAGTTGAAGCATGTTCAAAGGACGATGATTGGGGTCGTGAGAGGACTAGAGACCATGTCAAATGAAGACCAGTAAAAGAATTGAGGTGGTTTATCCTGAAAAAGAGAAGGCTGAGACGGGATAGGAACACTGTCTTCAAGTATTTCAAGGGATATGGAAAAAGGATTAGACTTGTTCTTCCTCACCCCAGAGGGTAGACGTAGGAGTATTGGAGAATGAGTGAAGAAAGACAAATTTGGATCCATTGTGAAGAAAAACTTGCTAACAATTAGAACTGTCCCGACATGAACTGGCCTGCCTTGTAAGGTGGGGATCTCTCCATCACTGGAGATATTCAAGTGGAGACCAGATGGCTGCCTGTAAGCAGTGCTATAGAGGATTCCTGCAGGCTGGACTGATCTCTGATGACCCTTCCAGCTCCTCTAGTCTAGAAAGTCACTGCCCAGGTCTCTTCACAGCTCTCTCCAGCGTGCCCCAACTGATTAGCTGCAGCAAAGCTCTGTCATTGCACAGTCGCAGCAGAAATGCCCCCCTCACCCCAAGCAGTGCAGCGAATGTTTCAGGACAAGTCCCAGTAAATAAAACAGGGAGTTGAATCCAACTGTGCAGAACAATAGCACACCCGAGGATAGCATGGTGGTTTAGTTAATAAATGGCTAATGAGTCAGGCCAAGGGCTATACTCCCCCATGGATGGAATTAACTACCCACTAACCCAACTTCTTAGCTGAGATGTCACTAAGCCTGCTTTGGCATAGATGAAGGGGAAAAAATACACACACACATTTATATGCATGTGTGTGTGTGTGCCTATGGATATATAATATATATAATATAATGCAGTGCCATAATTCACATATATATTCATATATACACACAATTCCCGCTTTATGTAAATTCGCATTATGCAAATTCTACTTTACGGAAAGAAATCAGTATTCCAAAACATACCTATGTTAACTTCACTGTACAGTACCAAGCTCTCTGTCTCTGCTCCTGCCCCTTAACTGGGCAGCCTTCCTACCCCCACCCCCTAGCCAAAAACAAAATAAAACAAAAACCTTAAAAAAAAAAAGCCTTCCAAATGAAAGCAAAAGAACCAAGCCATGGCTGCTGCTGGATTGGGGGCTTGGCTTGAGACCTCTAAGAGAGGAGACCTTTGCCCTGCTCTGCTCACCTACCCTTGAGTTAACCCTTGCATGTCTGTCTTCTGTCTGTTAGGGTACCACATCTGTCCCCCGCCCCCAACATCACCCATCCTCTCCTGTCTGTGTCTGTGTCCAGCCCCTACATCTGTCCCTCACATGCACACATACATATTCTTCCTCTCAGTTCCAGCCAGATCCCCATGTCGCTGCCCCTCCTCCAGTGTTCCTCCTCCTGCCTTTGCATTTCTATCCCTAGCACCCAAATGTCCTTGAACCATATTCTGCCCCCACCTCCACTGGCATGAGGCCCCCTCCCTGTATCCCTTCCTCCCTCCCCCACTTCTTTTTTTTCCATGTCCTTAACACCAAATCTAGTGCTTTTTATTTTTATTTTTTTAAATTCTTTTTTATGGTAATTTTTATTTATTTTTTTGTTTTCAACATTTACTTCCACAAGATTTTGAGTTCCAAATTTTCACCCCATCTCGCCCCTCCCCCATGCCAAGATGGCATGCATTCTAAATACCCCTTCCCCTAGTCTGCCTTCCCTTCTATCTCTCCCCTTCTTCTCTTATCCCTTTCCCCTTCAATTGTCCTGTAGGGCAAGATGGATTTCTGTACCTCATTTCCTGTATTCCTTATTTCCCAGTTGCATGTGAAAACATTTTTTTTAAACATGTGTTTTTAAAACTTTGGGTTCCAAATTTTCTCCCTTCCTCCCTCCCCATACACCCTCATTGATAAGGCAAGTAACTAAATATAAGTTATATATGTGCAGTTATGCAAAACACTTCCATAGTAGACATGCT